GTCATCTCCATGCCAAATCCCGCACGCTCCTCCTGCTCAGAGGGAAACACGCACACAGACCTGAGGTTCCCGACCTTGGGAGCTCAACTTCCCTTTTTCCAGCAGGGAAGCTGCTGTCTGCAGCCCGACGTCCACTCGGACCCAAGGAGAAACCCTCTGACGGGTGCTAGGCTCAAAGCACGCGGGAAAAGAGCACGTAAGGGAGGTCTGAAGACCAGTTGTCCCCCGTTTAGAAACCCAGAGCTAACCGAAGCCACCCAACAGCGCAAGCAGCAGAGAGGAACGGGCGCTCCGGGTCCTTCCACGTCAGCCCTTCCCTTCACCCGGCCGGCGGCACGGAGGCATCAGCAGATCCTGCCGGATTGCAGAGAGGTGCGAGGCCCATTCCTTGCTCGGGAGCAAACTTCCATCTCATTTCTCGCACAGTCTGGGCCGTCCTCCTGCCCAGCAGGGCCTCCACCTGCCACGTCCAACTCTTTGTTCAGCTGTTTTCCAGGGTTATTGCTAGCCAACAGTATCGCTTTCTCCCGAATGCCCAGCTCCGCTTGATTTACCGAGAGTGCACGGGAAGAGACGTTTGCTTCAGGCTTTCCAAAAAAGAGCTCGCACCTCCCGGTTCAGACCAAACAAGGAAAAGAACACCCCCAAAAGAAACACTTTTAGCACACGCTCAGAAGGGGAACCGATGCTGGAGGAGCAGCTGGCGGGGCCTTGAGCAAATTAAGGCCTCAGCACAGCAAAATGCTACCGGTACAAAATCCAGACGCTCGGCATCTCCGGGAACAAAGTCTGCACCAAGAAACACCCTTGTGCTCGGTGCGTGACGGCCGCCCCCTCCCTGGGGTTTCGTCTCTCCCCATGTTAAGCAGCAAATGACACTGGCCGTGTCGGGAGGGCAGGGTTTGTCTGCTCTCAAGGCACAGGTGCCACGTGCTCGAGCAACGGACGTGCCCCTGGCAGACGTGGCCCCCGCGCAGGCTTTGGGGTTAGGGGATGTTTTGGGACGCCCAGAGCAGCTTTCGCAGCACCCCTGTGCAGTTCCAGCTGCAAAGGCTGGAACCAAAAGCAGCCGTGGCTGCAGGATTTAAGGGAAAGAAAAGAGACAACGACGACATGATCCCGGCAGAGTTTGCTCCAGCCCTTCATGCCTTTTTTTTTTTTTTGGTCATTTATTGAACATGAACATGCTTGGATACCCAAAATAACGGCAAATGCTGCTGCCAAAATGGCTCCTGCGGGCGACGATCCGATAACCTGTCCCACGAGGGCTGGTCTCTACGGAACAGGCCGCAAGCTTCCGCGCCCCCGCCCCCAGCCTCCTGCCCCCCCACAACCCCCCCCCAGCCATGCTTCCTGGCATGTCCCATCTCAAGGCCAAGGGGACAAAAGGGGTGGCGTGATTCAATCTGGATTTGATTTCAATCAATCCCAGCACGCCTGGATATATATTCCCAGCAGCTGTTATCAAGGTGGAAAAGAATGGCCCAGCAGTACTGGTTTTGAGGGAAGAAGCCAGGCAGGTATTGTGGCCTCCAAACATGAGCATGGGCTCTGCTTGGACAGCCGATGCTCACAGCCGACCTGCTGGCTGTTCACTTCCAGTCCATTCTCCCCAACACCTCCAGCTGCACAAAATCAGCTTCTGCTGGAATAAAACACCCCCTT